ACAAAGCGTCAATTTTTCTAAGAAATCGAATTGAAAAGTTGAAAAATTTGAGGAAAATGTTTTGGTATTTCATGAATTTTCCGAGTTCGTTATGAAAATAAAAAAAAAAAAAAATTATTCTGCTGGTTTTTGTTGCTGAATGAACTTTATTCTTATAGAAAACAAGAAAAATTTTGTGTGGAGAATATAAATAAATAAAATCGTCAAAAGGTCGGGGTATTCATACTTTTGACGCTGACTGTAAGTATTTATGCAGAAATGGGTGCAAGGGTGTAAATGGCTCAAGCGCATGGAATTCAACAATTTCTCTAGCGGTAATAATTTTATGCAACATAAATTAGATGTTGAAATAATTCTTTTCAAAGGTAGTTGGGTTGGTAAGTTGCTGCAGCCATTACCGCCGCACTCAAGTCGTCTGCACTTACAGCTTTGAGGAGAGTTTTTTCCCCACAAATATTATTAGCACGCTTTTAAAAGTTAAGCGTTTTTTTCTACTTCTAGATTTGGGCAGTGCTAACGAAACGCCAACAAATGGCGTTGCTTATGTGGACGCACGGTGAGGAGGCGCTAGCGAAATCCTTGGTGGCCTGCAAGCTGTACAAGGCAATGGCGCACGAGGCGGCCGAGGATGATTTAGATACGGAAATCTATGATGAATTGCGCGCATATGCAAAGGAATTCGAAAGCAAAGGTTGGTAAAAGGCTACGTGTGTGTGTGTGTGTGTGTGCGTGTGTGCGTGTGTGTGTGTGTGTGTGTGTGTAATTTTGTGTGATTCATTTAAAGCTGATCGCAAGTGTCTATTGGTTGAGCATCCTTTTGCCACGTCTAAGTGCATATTTGTTAGTGGAAGCGCTTAGTTACTAGAAATGTATGAGAACAGGTAGTGAATTGCCATTTCTAGTAACCACAAAGTAAGCCAATTCAAGTGTGCAAGCCGCTTGAATTTATTACCTATTAGGTGGCTTCCTTTCAGTATGCTTTCAATCATTGTATTCGCTATGAATTGGCCATTACTTTTTTGAGAATGGCTTTTTATCATTTCTTTTCCTCTCCAAAAGCTTTCAATCACTTTAACTGTTCTATTCGTTTGCAGGCATCAAGTTACTAGATTTCAGCTATCGCACAGATGGGGAGAAGGCTCAACGACTGTTGACATGTGAACTGCACTCATGGTCGAACCAAAGTTGCCTTTCCCTGGCGGTGGCCGCCAATCATCGTGCACTTCTGGCACATCCGAGCAGTCAAGTGATATTGGCCGATTTGTGGATGGGCGGTTTGCGAACGCGTAAAAATACAAATTTTAAGGTAAGTTAAAAACTCAAACTTGTAACTGACTTCAAAAAAATGAGGAGGTTATCAAATCGTCAGAATATTTTTTTATTTTTTTTTGTATGTTACCGCATAACTTCAGACCACGTTAACCGATTTCTGTTTTTTTTTTCCCTCATACTAATTTGGTCATAAAGCAATTGACGGTACTTTTGAATTTTTATATGAGGTTTGAAGTCGGTTTTGTTTTTTTTGCTTAAAAATTACTTGTTCTTACTTTGAATTGTTAAAATATGAACTTAAGTAGAGAGTTTAAGGTAGCTTAAGTTGTGGGAGTCTAACCCCCGTAGGAGCTGCACTTGGACTTTAGAAGCGTTGACATGTGCGATGGCAAGTGATTTTGTACGGTAACCACTACTCTAATTGAAAAAACGCCTGCAACCAATCACGAAAGTTATGAAGAAGGCTAATGTCAATCCGCAAGCGCTCATCAGGATGGGTTGAATGATTTTGTTTATTCTGGCACGAAAGTCTTACACAAAAAGCTGCCTTGCTGGCTTTCATGATGAAAGCTCTTTGGTCAGAAAGCACTTGAGCATATGTACATTAGGGTGGTCCTTAAATGACGAAATCTCTTGATTTTTTCCTAATGTGAATTTATGTGTATGATTTATTTATTTTTTTACTTCTAGGTTATCTTAGGTCTTTTGATACCCGTTTATATCAGACATTTGGATTTCAAATCCAAAGAAGAGCTACAACAAATGCCACAAACCGAAGAAGAGCACTTGGAGAATCAAAATTTGGACAACGACGATTCGGATCGTTCGCAGCCCGATGCAGAGGTATGTACTAGAGTACGATTCCATTATATGGACGTACATTATTTGTTTGTTATTTAATAATTAGATAATTTTTTCCATAATACTCCTAATAAGTAATGTTCCTTTGTTAAACATTTTAAAATAAGTCTTAAAAATTTGTTTTTAAACTGTTCAATTTTCCACTGAACTTGCGATTAGTTGAAAAAAATTCTATCCTCTTCATTGTTGTTTGTACATATTATCTACGTTGAAAGTAATCAAAGTGATGAAATAAGATTTGCGTAATTTTAGTAAATTTCGTCGCCAAAATAAATTAAATATTCACTTAAAATTTTTGCTTTAAAGTGCTGTTAAAAAATATAAAAAGTTGGTACTTAATTCAGTATACCTATTTAATTGTTATGAATACTTATTCAACATTTCATAACTGCATTTAAGTAAATTTTATTTCGATATTTCTAAATTTAGAAAACAAAATTTATGATTTACTATAATATTTTGAACTACATTTTTACAACCCTTACTGTATTTGTTCTGCTGCTGCGTTGCTGTTTAAACCGCTCCTACTATAACGACTACTTGAAACAAAAAAACGAAAATAAAATAAAAATAACATCTACTACTACCACTACCACTTCTACTACTACTTCTACTACTATTATTACTACTACTGCGACACATTCCCTAGAATGCGCTAACAAAAGCGAAAAGATCAATTTCCTTCAAGTGTAGGATAAGCAGTAACAATAATCAAGACAAGGTAGTAAATTCTGACAAAACAAAAACTCTTGTTATCCCCTTAAATTCTATTAAATCCCGTGTAAACATGTCCGAATAGTAGTTAACTGTGTTGTAGTGTGAATTACGAAAATAGTTAAACTAAAACTTTTAAACTTTCTATATACATAGATAGTATGTGTGTATGTGTGATTATGCGAATTGAATGCATACAAAACTTTTCTCTATAATGTTTTTTCTTATACATTTGTATGTAGCATACATGTGTATATTTACCGCGATTGGTTGCTGGTGACTAAATTTATTTTTTTTCCATTTTCCAAATATTTTTGTTGTAATTCTCGTCCTATCTCTACTCCTAACTGCTAATCTATTGTTTCTCATACTAGCATACGCATCAAATTCGTATTTAAATTTTTCTAAACTTTTTTTTAATCAATCTGTGTAACCTTTTGTATGTATTAACCATCGTTTGAATATACTTTTTCTTTTTATGTCTAGTACTCTAATCCTTTGTCTGCTGTGCAAATATAGATTAATAAATCTTCTTGTGAATATGTCCGAATGTACGTACATATGTATGCATATCTATTTTTTTTTTATGTATGCTCATGCAGATACAATCAGCCGCAAAAATATGGATACCCTCACGTTTTGATAATTTTATTTGTTTATATTTTGCACATCAATTTTTTTTATAAAAATGTGGTTTATTCAACAGAAAAACTCACGAGAATCAATTTTCTTAATCGAACTCGGAGAAAATACATAAAATACCAAAAAATTTAAAATTTAGGGTAGGCAGTTTTGTAGCTCATAAAATTTTAGTGTAATAAAGTCCAAGTTTCAAGGAAGTTTTTCTTAGAACCATTACTTAACGCATTTCTTTCATATAAGGGCTGTTTGCAGCTGTCAAGAAAAACGAAAAATTCATATAACACCATCACAATTCCCTGAATCAGTTTGCAGCTTTCTAGAAAAGAATGTTTGTATATTTATTTTTTTAAGAAAATTTACAGTACTTTTTCAAGCAAAAAAAAAAATGGAACATATTTCTTGTGATTTTTCTTGAGCGCTGTACACCGCCCTATTTTATATGAAAGAAGGTACACAACTCCCCCAGCGAAAAAATCTCAAAAATCAATGGTAATTATTAGCCACTTGACATTCTCATTAAAATTTAAACTGCATACTAAAATTTTTTTTAAGAAATCGAATTGAGAAATTATCAATTACAATGAAAATTTCTTGCATTTTTCCAAGCCCTGTAAGAAAGTAAAAAAAGGGATTCTTGCGGTTTTTGCTGTTTAATGAACCATATTTTTATATAAATATAAGAAAAATTTGGTATGGAAAATATAAATAAATAAAATCGTCAAAACTGCAGGGTGTGCATATTTTTCACGCTGACTGTATGTACAGTCACTCACAGAAGTATTCGTGGTTTAGTTTCTTCGCGATACTCAAAATCTGTTCCATGAACTTTTTCGTAAATTTTTATTTAATATATAGCCCATTTAATAACAAAAACCATATAAATCAATATTACATATTTTCAACGGAATTCGTAAACTGGCAAAAGTGAAAGTTTTAAGTGCCTTGACTTTTGACTGTTCTTTGCTGGCGATATTGCCGGTTCTCTTCCAAATCACGCATGAAAAAAGTTTATTTTTAACCGACTTCAAAAAAAGGAGGAGGACCACATTAACCGATTTCTGCAATAAAACAGATGGGCCCATACTAATTTGGTCCAGATCCTATCATTGGATGATGAAGAAATTAACCATTAAATTTTTTTAGGAGAACTGAATTCGGCTTAGTTTTAAGCTCAAAAATTACTAGTTATAATTCTTAAAAAAATCTGACTAAAAACTTTGAAATTTCGGTAGTATTTTTTTAAATTCGCAAAATTTTTGCGAGTTTCGTAGAAAGTTTGCATCATTGATTTGTATGGTTCGCGAGCCACTCTAATGGGCATACTTTTTAAATTCGTATGTGGGTATACATATGTACATACATAAATTTGTATGTAGTAATCAGTGTCAGCGTTTCATTGCCCTGTTTTCCTATAATTATATATACCTTTTATTATCACATACATATATGTAAGATATTTTCCTTTTCCATTATATATTCATAATCATATTCGATAACTTATTCACATCAAAAATACTTATATTAATATTGCCAAAACACCAAAATTACTAACAGTACTGAAATACAGTGATATGATGCTTAAGATGTTAAAATTATGGTATGGCTGCTCATTACTTACACTTTCGTTTTGTTTGTATTTTGTGCTAATTGGCTGCTAAATGGTATTTATATTTTGTAAATATATTTTTGAATTGGTTGCTAAAATGTTTATTATTTTGTTGGGTTTTTATTGTTGTATATTTAAATAATTTTAAGTAAAAAGTTTTCGCTTTAAAAAAGTTCGATTGATAGTGAATAACTGAGTTAGAGGGAAGACCAGTATGTTTGCACGTATTTATATAAAAAAAAAAAAAACATTTACTAGTGCGAAAAAGTGGGTAGGCACTGTGGACAATGGTAAAGTCCACTACAGTCTGCGGAGGATGCATCAGACTAGGCCGAGCATACTTTGAATTGCCATCTTATTAAAATGTAAGAAAGTTCAATTACATGGCAGTTGAGAAGTGCACGTACAGAAATTTCATAAATTGCATAAAGGAAATTTCTGCACATGCAGCCGTACATAGCAGGCATGTAGGCGCCCGGTGTTAGCAGTCGCGCCTACATAGATATTGTTTCTGGTAACTGGTAACTTCCCATTGATATTGCCACACGATGGCTTTGAAAGCTTGTAGGAGAGCGTGTGTGTATTTCAGTGCCTAAAGCTCTATATTCAAAATATATACATAGATATGTATATATATTTATATTTTTTTAAGTAAATCGTATAATCTTTTTATTTTATAACTTTATCGTAACACAGCACTCCCGTGACACGACAAAGACAAGTAATTGGTTGCTTTTGTTGTATGTACTCAATATTTCCGAATATTTGATAAATCATTCTTTTAGGCACTTATATCAATTTTTTGTTCTATCTGTTATCTTGTTAGCAGCCATACAGTAAACTTCAAATACAAATTTGCTACCCAAAAACTTAGTTTTTTTCACTTTACAAAAGACCAGTTACTTGTTTTTGTCGTGTTACATGGGAGCATTTTCCGTTAAGCAATCTGCACGGTCGTTTAGCTTTAGACGCGTAGTAAATTTTTTATGCAACGACTCTTGGTCTCTCCATATGCTCTGCTATCACCATCGGATTCCGTGTTGAATACTTTCAGAGCTGGAGCATCGGTGCCCATTCGAACGACATGGTCAAGCCAGCGGAGCCACTGTATTTTAATTAGCTGCACTATGGCACTGTATGTCGTTGTAAAGTTCATACAGCTCATCGTTCCATCGTCTGCGCTAGTCGCCCTCGCCAACCCGTAAAGGCCCGTAAATCTTCTGCAAGATCTTTCTCTTGAATACTCCAAGATCCGCCTCATCAGATGTTGTCATTGACCATGCCTTTGCGCCATATTCCAACATAGGCATGAGGAGTGACTTATGGAGTGTGGCTTTCGTACGTCGAGAGAGGCCTTTACTTCTGAAATTGCCCACCCAGTCGAAAGTAGCACTTGCTGGCAACAGCGATTCTGTGTTTTCGACAGTGACATTATTATCGGTGCTGGTTCCCAAGTAGACGAAATTTCCTACGTGCTCGGAATTATAACCTTCACCAGGGCGCGAATGTGCTGATTGTTTGTTTGATGACAGGAGATACTTGGTCTTGTACCACCAGACCTTATCTATCTTGGGAAAAGGCAGAACAGGCTTCGCGGTTCCTATCGAACGCTCTTGTGAAGTATTGTGCCTGAGCTGTTCAGTTCTACAGCGCTTGTTTTCGTCTCCAATATCAGATTAAAGAAATCGTATGAAAGGGTGTCACCCTGCCTTAAACCCCGTTTGGTAGCAAAGGCTAAACGTGACTTTACACATCCGTATCAGTTTCGCGTGGATACCGAATTCTGAAATCGTGACAAATAGGCAACTCCTTTTCTCGCGGGACTTTTCTAAGATTTAGCGCATTGTGGATAACTGGTCTATGGCGGATTTGCTAGGTCTAAAGCTACACTGATGCCCAATAAATTTGCTAACAGTGAGCTTCAGTCGTTAACACTATCGTCCCGCGTTAGTTGGCGCGTATGGCGGGGTTGTCTTTCTTGTGGATTTGACAGAGCACACTTAAATTCCAGTCGTCGGGC